AGAGAGCGAGAGAGAGAGACATTTACATTAGCTGGTTGGCAAAAACCACTTAGCGGGTAAACTAACCACACCTAATGCAAAACGGGTGAGCTGCACGAGGGTGTGTGTGTGTGTGTTGTTTACGCGCGGGGAGGGAGCGGGAAGAGGAACTGTAGTCTATAAGAAATGGGGCGCCGTTTGCCAGGACAAGAAACTCGCTGCCTGCTGCCGGCGCTTCCTTATGGCTTTCTTCAGAAAGTTTGAACAGCAAATCCAACAAAGGGCCAAGGCAGACAACACAGTCGGGACGCCCCGCACGCCCAGAGACCCCCGCACTCATCACTCCACGCAATTGCCCACTGCCTGCTTGTTGTCAGGAAAAAGAAGAGGACAAAGGAGGTGCAGAAGAAGTCAACCCAAAATGGAAGCCAAAACAGGAAGTAATCTATAGTCGCCCCGCCATTGTTTATTGTTTAATTTTTAGTCAGCTTTATGTTGTTGTTGTTGTTGTTGTCGTTTTTGTTGTTGCCGCCCCCCTTACACCGCCTGTGGGTCTGCTCAATTTTTTCTTTGCGTCTGCTGCTTCGTTGTATTATTTTCTATTGTTAACAATTTTTGCATTTGCCCCGTTGCAAGTAGCAAAAACTTTTCAATGTGCTGCCGCCGTAGCCATTGTTCCTTGCCACCAACCCCCCTGCCCCAAGCGTACCCGAACCATCCCTCTTTGGACACTGCTCTACATAACGCTGCCACTTGAGCAGCACAAAAGCAACGAGGTAAAAGGCAGACAAAAGCCAAACCCAAAACGACGCCCACGCGCCAAAGACGTTGACAAGGCGACATTCGTGGGGCATCTTCCCCAATGTTGCTTCTACCCCTTGCCCCCTGTTCAGTCACAGTTCGCAGCAAGGCAGAAGCCCGTATCGCATTTACTTGGCTTTCGTTTTATCGGCTAGCGACAACAGCAGCAGCAGCAACAACAACAACAGCAACAAGAGCAATAACAATAACAATGTCACCCAGTTTCCATGGCATTCACCACGTCTGACACTCTAGATACTCCTCGGACTACCTTATAATTGCGTTGCGGTGTCTGCCGCTCAGTCAGGTTATGCAACCAGAACAGCAGCAGAAGAAGAAGAAGCAGCAGCAGGAATAGGACACAGCAGCTGGCAACCAGAAGAAGCCAACAGGAGTCGCCAGCGATTATGGTTATATGCTGTCAGGAACTTCAACCCCCAACTCAGAGCCCAACTCAAGCGTCAAGGATAGATACAGATATAGATGTAGATATAAATATAGTCGAGGTGCTGGCAGCTCTTCAAAAGGGTTTTTCGTGTTTCTGTTCATTTCAAATATAGTCACAGAAAGCAAACACCGGGGACACATTAGCTGTATAGCTGCAATAAATAAATATATGAAGTTCAAACTTATGCTAGTGTTGTAAAATGGCGAACTTTAACACAGAGTGCTGCATTGATATTATCTAAATCGAGCAACAAATATATATTTAATATAGTTTACCCTAGCAGAGGCATTTTTACTCTTCCATTTACTTTTGGGCAGAATGTGGATCGCATGCCTGGCTACTAGTGTTACAAAAGTTTATATACATTATATGCCTCATAACCTTGCAAAGTCATTATAGATTGTTCACGCCTGGAAGATATGCATTTTGGAAAACTATCGGAACTAATGCAATTGTTTAAGACTTGATTTAGAATGCACTAATCTAATCTCTAAGTGCAGCTGCTAGGGTATTTAGACTTCGGCAAGCCGAGGCTTTACATTTTTCTCTAGTTATGTTAGTATTTTATTTTTGCCTCAAACAATTAGCTAATAAGTAGAGTCAATTAGTTGAACATCAATATTTTGTGCATTCATTATTATTTAGTCGAAATGTGATCCCCAACAGAGTTGAAAAAACATTTTTCACCCTTTTCAGATATCAATTACCTCTGCAGCGTGGAAAAATATCACATTTTTATACGTAATTCAAATAAAACGCGAAATAAAAATTTGAATTTAAAAACATTGAAATTCATTAAAATATTTAGAGAAAATTTGAGTAACAGAAGAAAAAAAAGTTTGTGAAAAAAATTGCATTCTGAATTGTTGTAAAAATGTTCTTGAATTTTTTTTTCAGTTTTTTTTTTTTTTTTCATATTTGTTAAGCATCCTTTTGGGATGCGCCTTAAGAGAGCGTTATGTGTGTGGATAGGTGTGTGTGTGTTTGTGTGTGTGTGAGTGATATTTTGTTTGTTGTATTTGGAAAACATAGAAACAAATGGCTTAGACGCAGACAAATAGGACACTTGGGATAACGTTTGGGAGGGAATTTTCGGGGTTTCTTCTTTTTTTGATTTATTTTATTTTATATTATCTCTTTTTTGTTTTTTTTTTTTTTTTATTTTTTAGGGGAATTCAACATATAAGGATATATATAGTTTTTTTTTATGTTTTTATATCATTTGCTTTATATTATTTGACTTTGGTATTTTTTTCTGCTTCTTCTTCAGTTACATGTAGATAAAAAAATACATATAAGTAGCTGCTTTGGCATTTTACAATAATACTGAAGACCTATTTATTTGTTTATTAATTTTTTTATGGTTGGGCAAGTTTCGACTTGCTGCCTAATTTGTTGTTGTACTTTATTTTATTCTTTAAATTAAGAATAACTGAAAAATAATGTTTTGTTAACTGAAAAACGGTTTTCTATATTTAGGATGATATTTTTTTTTTATATTATAAAAAGCTTTGATTGAAACGAAAAACTAAAAATGACAAAACGTAATGAGTTATAAAGAGTTCAAAGAGAGCGAAATAGAATGAAAAATATATAGATAGATAGAGACAGAGAGAAAGAGAAGATGTAAAGATGTGACAAGAACTTGGTACGATGATAAGTAGAAAAAGAAAGAAGAGAACAAAAGCAAGGAAATGAAGAAACGAATGGTTAAAACTTGGATTTGGTGGAATGAGATAGAAATTCACTTAGTTATGAGGTGAACTTTTTTGTTGTTGTGGTAACGAGTGACGAGTGGCGAGTGGCGAGAGCAAGAGAGAGACAGAGAGAGAGAGAGAGTGAAATAGAAAGTAACGAGTATTTTGTGTAGCGAACGAGTGACTGATCTTTAAATTAGGTAAAAAACGGAAGATAGACGATTGAATGTATGCTCATGCTTCAACTTAAACTCGTACTCAAAACAATCGGATTAAGAATCGAAAAAAAAATATGTTCAAAAAATCAAGACATATTTATAGTTTGCTGTAGCTGTTGCTGTTTTTTTGTTTTGTTGTTGTTGAGTTTCTTTTTGGCCTACTGTTAGTATGCATGTTAATATTTGTTAATCATAAAATGGTTTAAAAAAAAAGCGGAAATGTATAATCAACTTAATACACATAGACACGTACACATAACACATACAAATACAAGTACAAATACAAATACAAATACGAATACAAATATATAGTTGGATTATTTTCATAATGTAATTTTTCGGTTGCGATTCTTGCAAATGCAATTTTCCAGTACCTTTTTTATCATTATTTTTATACCCTGAACCCATTGAAAGCCGCTCAAAATGGCATGTGATTTTTATGCACACATATGTAACGGGCAGGAGGAGCCATCGATCCCATTAATTAGTTTTATTCTCCGAGTCTATCTAGTCATGTCTGTCAGTCTGTTCATCTGATTGAGAAACTTGAATCGATTTTTATAGACTTATATCTCCCTTCTTTTCTTTCGTATATGAGTTTCTTTTTTCTTTTGATATCTCTTTCAATATTAATCTTACCTCCCATTTCTTTACACTTTTGCTTGCTATATTTCATCCCTGAAAAAGTCATACGGATGGGACTATAAACAGCAAAGTTACTAAAAAATGCATTTGCCATACTTGCTGTAGGGGCTAAACTAGGGAGAAGCACATCTAACGGGATGCATTTCATTGAAGGTGTACATTTCCTTTGCCGGTATATGAAAAGGTCAGCTTGGCACTGGGTTCAGGGTATCTGCTAGTCGATCAGTTTGCCGACCAGAGCACTCTTAATATTACTTTTTGCATGGCCGTAAAAAGTTTGCTATTTAATTGAATCCTTTTGGTTGAGATGATAAAAATAAATATACATGTTTCACGAAATGCACGAATTGTAGAAATGTTTGTGAAAAATAAACATATAAAAACAGTATCTGAAACTTTCATCCCCCACATTTCGTTTAATATTTTTATTTCTCTTATTTTTTTTTTCAAATTTTTCTTTTTTTTTTGTTTTTTTTTTTTTGCCATACTTAATTTGGTTGGGATTTATTTTATTTACATAAGTGAGTTGTTGACTTTTGGGTACTTTGAAATGCGTCAAATGGATAATTAATAATAAAGTAAAGTAAAAAAATGAGAGTGATAATAAATGTATGTATATAAAAAATACTGCATAACGCTGCGCAAGGGGTTGGTGGGGGGAAAGGTGTGTGGTCAAATGCGGAGCGGAGCGGAGCATCTCAAATAGCAATTACAGCAGAAATGCAAGTCTCTTTTTTTTATTTATTTTAAATAACAATTTGAAGAGAAATTTTTCCACCTACAATTAACATAGTTTAATTGGTTATTTTGGTATTTTTATTGGTATTTTTGGATATATTTATTATGCATTTGCTGCTGTAATTCTTGTAATGAAAACTAAACCATTTTAATTTAATTTTTTTTTTTTTGTTTTTTTTTTTCTTAAGATGTTTTGTATGAGAGAGGCTTTTGAATGGATGGAAAAAGTAATAAAAGAAACTCTTGTTTACTGGAAGTATTGAGATGCATAATGCTTATGTGGAATAAGAACAGAAAAACTCGATGCAGTTATATATGACGTAGAATGTAAAACCGAAAAATAAACCAAAATTTCTGGCGACTACTTGGCTCAGTCCAAAAATTACAAAAAGTATTTTTCGTATTTCTTACGCCTGTGATTCCTTTCAGGTTTTATATTTGTTTTGTTTTTTGTTTTTTTTTTTTTCGACTTACCAAGGTGTGAACGAGCTCCAGAAGAGACTACAAGTTCACGGGTTGAAACGTAGTATTTTTTTTTCATTTTTTGTTTTTTTTTGTTTTTTTTTTTTTTTTTGTAGTATTTTTGAATTGAATTTGTTTGTTAGGTTGATTGCAAAGGAAATGCAATTGATTTGTGTTGAAATTTGATTTGATTGATTTGGATTTTGGTTTAGCACACAACATGAAGGTATCGAGCCACAGCAACAGAGTAGGACAGTACACAATTAATTGACAGGACAATAAAAAAGAAATTAAAAGACAAAAATGCTTTTCGTTAACGAATTGATTCAAAGTTGAGATTTTGTTTTTTTTTTTTTTTAAATATACTTTGTTCTTTTGTGTTTTTGTTTTTTTTTTTTTTTTATTTTTTTGTTAGCAATCGCTTGGCGATATATGAGGCATACCTAGAAGACGTTCTTAGCTTGAAACTAAAGCAATTGTTTAACCAAAATGAAAAATACATTAAACGTCACACGTTGAAAACGAAAGCATAAAACACATTTGACAAACACACTTAATTTGATATGAACTGGTTTCTAGCTGGATTTTTTCATTTTTCGTTTCTGGTTTGAAGCAGCGTTTCGGTGAGTCGCTTGTGAAATACATGGGATATACATCGTCAGCAGGCGTCAGGCTTTTTTTGGGTACATTTCTTGGGTTATTTATCAGCGATTCTTTTCAGTTTTAGTATGGTTAGTTGGTTAAATGTTCAACTTAGGATATCGTATGTTAATAAGTAGATTACTTACAAATCATAAAGAATACTTTTAAGATGAAAACAAATTCGCTTTTTAGACACACACAGTTACGGAAATGAGAAGAAACAGTTCAAATTGAAATAAAAAGTCGATACACACACAAGTCAAATTGGATTTGGTACTTTTTTCTTCTTCTCTATCGAATATAGTTTTAAGTCCTTGTTTTGTTTACGAAATTGCATTCATTTCTTTTTTAGTATCTCTTTTATTTTTATTTTTGTCTTCTTTTAGTGAAATTAGTATTCTGTTCTGTTTAGCGCAATCACAATATCGTAAAATCAAAGAATACAACAACAAAAAAGTACACTTTCGACTATTTGACCGTGGCAAATTGTTTGGTTCTCGCATTTTGCATACATTTATCGAATATGTTTATTCATAGTTCGAAAATGAAAGTAGAAGAAACAAAGTACAAAAATATACGTTACGAACCGAACCCAAGCAAATCAAACATAAATTTATTCACATCTCTGTGAGCAGTTGCTATCTATAATATTTACTTATCTAGATAAAATACTTTATAAATTAATCAAAAAGAAACAAAAATAAAGGAAAAACTAGTTCAATTTGAGCAGCGAGCACATTGAGAGCTTAGGTCGAGCTAACCTCAAAATGAGCTCTGGAGAACCAAGTGCAAATGAGCAGAAAAAAAGAAACTCAATTAAAACTGTTAAATATATGTTAAACTGTAGACCAAGTTTTTATATCAGCTCACTATATATGGGTCGTCATACATATGTATATACATATATATTTATATATATTATATATACATAGATCGCAAGACATTAACAATCATCGTTTAAGCTTGTTGCATTTGTCGTGATTGTTGCACTTTTCGGGACAAACGTTTGTATTTTTAGTATTTCATTGTCATATATATAGTATTTTTTTCGTTTTTTTTTTTGGGGTTAGACGAACACAAGGAGGTAAAACACTAGACAACACACATACTCAATGAAGTGCTATCATTATTTTCGCTTTGGATTTCTTTAAACAAGTTTTTGTTTTTTTTTTCTTGATGAACCATTCATATTGTAATAGACAAAACGTAGAGTTTGAAAGAATGACAATAAGAAAAATAGAGCTCAACACAAAATGGAAAATAAATAGCTGTTAAAAAATACTAAATTAAATTACACAAAATTTTTGCGCTTATGTAGCTTGGTTTTTTATTTATTTTTTTTTTGTTTTTTTAAGTACCTTCTACTTTTGAGGCAGGCAAGAAAAGAAAAAGCTCAAACTAAGAGAAAATTTGCCGCACGGGGCGACCAGTCAGTATTTTATTTCCAAATCGGTATTTTTTCTTTTTTTTTTTTTTTTGGCCAGAAACTAAAAAAACTTATAAGGAGGAAATAATAGAAATCAGAGCACAAGTGAATGACACGAAAACGTAAACGTTAATTCAACATTTTGTTTCTTTCTGTTTTCATTTTTTTTTTTCAAGATTTTTCAAATATTTTGAGGTTAGTTTGTAGCACGTCCAACGCATAAATGATAGACTCATTGAGGGGAGAGAGGCGTAAGGGATTGTGGGAATGTGATTGCGGGTATTTTGAATTTTTTTTTGCATTTTTTTTTTTTTGGTTTTTATTTTTTTTTGAATTAGATTCAATTTGTTGAGACTACTTGAATGTGTTCAGTTGAAGTTTGAAAACATATGTAAACAAGTTTCAATAACAATTTTTTATTTTGTAGAGGATTAAACAACTTTTGTGAAAGCATAAATAAAAATCAAATATATATAAATATATATATATATATATATATCTAGATATATAAGTATATATATGTATATATATATATCGTAAAGTATATACATATATATATAAAAAGTTTTGTAAAATCATAAAATAGAACAAAATATTTGAGCTTTTTCTCTTCGTTGATGCAGTACCACAAAACGTAAGATTAGGCAGCGATATATAATGGCTAAACGAATATCTGGAACAGATTCAGGATCTGAAACTGAACTGAAGCTCTTCTCTGTGTTGCATACATGAATGTACGATTGTCGAAAGATATATTCATGTAAATGTAGACAGGTCTACAGGTACATTTATGTATACGAGCAAAGAATAGAGTAGAGTATTATATACGCTTTTAACACACATCCTTCTTCTTCATCAGCTTCTTCTGATTCGAATGTCTCAGAACTGAAGACAATCAACAATTGCTAATCGATAACAAAAAAAATCAAGAATCGTAACGTAAAACGTAAATCACAAACTCGATAAGTCGATAATACGTAAAGTAAAAAGTATTAAACAATTGCTCAATATAAAGCCTCATCCATTCGATTTTGCCCAAGGGCAATCGCATTCTCTGTTGACCTAAGCTGCGCACTAGGAAGTAATACAGCATATATGCATAAAGGGCCCCGATATAACGACTAGTCTAAAAAATTGGCATTGTACTTACTTCTCGCTATACTCATCCATATGCGCATACGACTGTACTGAGTTCTCTTCGATGAGGAACTTCACCCGCTGATAGAACGAGGCCGTCACCGAGGGCGGTTGCTTGCGGAGTAGCACCTCAACCGGATCATTTGACGAGAGGCACATGATGTGCTCGGAGCAGGCTGGATGCGAGCAGCACTCGCTATCTGAACAGTCCGTCATGCCATCTATATGGTTATCATTGGGCATTCATTTCTCAGGTTTGCTATGGTTTGGTATTTAGTGGACTCTACTTACCGCCATCGTTGTCAATGTTGTCCTTGCAGTTCATTTCCAAAGCTATGGAACAGTCGCTGCCAGCCCAGCCTTCAATACAATCGCAGCGATATTCGCCATTCTCCAAAGTGCACTGACCGTGACGTGAGCAGCCGTTCTCGCAACCAGCTGTGGGTGAGAGGGAGAGAGAGAGAGAGAGAGTGTCTGTACAGTTGAGTGACAACAATAACAGTATAGGAACAGTTTGTCAGCAAGTAAAAATATAACGAGAGACGCTATTAATCAGCGACAACTGAGAGCAGCGAGTACGAAGTCAAGCCAACAAAAACAAGTAGCGAGAAAGAAAGAGTATCTCACTATTGAATGGTGAAAGAGAAGAATCTATTAGCCAGTAGAGAAGATCACTTGGCGCGAGCGGACAGCTGAGAGCAGTTTATTAGTGAGAGCAATAATGGCCTCTTCAACTAGCGATATATGTGAGTTAACGAGTAGTAAACGAATGTGGGCAGTAAAAAAATGTGAATGGTTCGCAGAGTTCAACCGATTAAAGCTGAATGATGACGCTCAAGTACCAACGAGTAGTTTGTGTTCGCTGAATGGTTGACATTTTGTTGCTGATTATTTTTTATTTTATACGTGCTGCGAGTGAAGAGCATTAATATAAAAATAATGTTAATGTTTGCTCTTCAAGGCGCGCTCAAGTGCGTCGAACGCTGGGCTAGGGACAGGAGCTGGGGTGGGCAGGTCCAAAGTGCCCTTCGCACGCACATACACAACATCATAAACGAAATGTGGAGAAATCTACAAAACAGTAAACATAAAAAGCAAACGAAACGTAACGTTAGATGCCACCGTTGATGGGCCTGTTGGTTGGGTTGGGTTGGATTGGGGTTTCGGTTTGGAGTTGGGGTTCAGTTCGAGTTCGGGTTTGGGTTTGGGTTTGGGTTTATTTGTTTGTTCCACGACAGCAGTAGCAACAACAACAATGACATGGCAGCATTTGAGCATTTGACGCAAAGTTAATGTCACTTGACATGTGTCATTTGCAAAATGGGTAACCTCGACGCTAACTCAACTTCCGGTATGTTAAAAAGTTTGCCGCGCATAAAATGACTTCCTTGTCGTAACTGCCTTCCTGTTTACGACTCACACACGCATTCGATATGTACATATATACATACATAGATATATATATATACATATATGTGTGTGTGTGTGTGTGTGCTCGTTTGTACACATATTGGCAATAACGTCAAGTGTTGCTGCCAATATTTGAACGATGTCTGCTGACGCTGCCTTTGCACAAACAATTTACATGAGAGCTCACGTGCATGTGTTAGTGTCTGCGTGTGTTATGTGTGCTGTGAGTAAGTGTGTGTGTGAGCAAAGGTACTGCGCCAAGTTTTCCACATGCAGAAATCTGTCAAAAAGTTGCATGGTATCAGCCAGCACGAAACTCAAAAATCCACTGCAAGTCCAAGGCAAATACCATTAACAAAACTTGTATTGGGCCAAGTAGCTGGTTGACTTGAGATACGTTGAAGTCTAAACTAAGGATGCAGCAAGTTATTTAACTCAGGACAGTCGACTGGAGTCATTTGTGGGGATTTCCTGCTAGACAACTCTGACCATCCTCATGGCCCCAAGCTGAAACTCAGGAGGCATCGTTTTTATAGACGGCAGAGTGCCTATCTAATCAACTTTCAGGATTCCTTAATTAGTAATCCCGACTTTCCTCAAGTATTAGATGCTTTACTCTACAGTACGATTTACTGCAGTTCTTTAAAGCCAAGCCTGAACAAATTCAACTAACTTAACTGTTCGCTCAAATCATGTACTAAAACTAACAAACTATGAACGGCAGCTGTATTAATAAACTATTTTTTTATAGTTCTAATTTCCAAACATTTTTGGCATGCATAAAGTTTTTTACAATTTTCCATGACTGATAGTAAATTCTCGGCGCCGACTTTTAATAAAAAAAAAAGGAGAGAAAATGCGGCATAACTTAACGTAAGTGCGGCATAAAATGTCGACGACTATTTCAGAACTTTGCCCACATTAGATGTCACCTACTAGCTAAGCTAGGAAGTCAGCGTGAGAGAGAGAGAAAGAGAGAGCGAGAAAGAGGGAGAGGTAGAAAGACGGAGCAGGTTGAGATTGAGAGACATAAAAATGTATCTAGATTTCAGGATTGCAGTCGTGTAATTTGTTACAAATCTCTGCTCAAATTCAATAAACTTTACCGCATTGTGTGTGTCGCGTATGCGAAGTGCCAGAGCAAGATAGCTAGAGTGAGACAGAGCGAGACAGAAGGCAAAGTCGTTAAGTACTTTCTAAAAATACAAACATACATGCATGTAGTTGTGCATGTGTGTGTGTGTGTGTGTGTGTGTGTGTGTGTGTGTGTGTGTGTGTGTGTATGCCAGGATATTGGGTGGCACTTTGTGCTTGTGCAAGCGTGACTCGCACGTCTAAGCTACCGCTCCACTAAGCCCCCAATCCCCCCTGCAGACCCTCCCTTAGCCTTAATTCAGAGCGCTGCTGCAACACTTGAATCGATTCAAAACGTTTTTGGCCGTATGTTGTCAGAGGAAGTTCCCACTGGGAATTGCGAATGGCGTTCGACATGGCGGCTTGCAAGCAGCCCGGCATCAGTAGTGGCCCAGTGCCGTAGAGGGGGCGCCTGTAAGTGAGCATGAGCCAGGGGGGAAGGTTAAAGTATGGAGGACGGGCGGTTCTGGAGTAAGTGTCTTTCTGCCTGGGCCTGAGTGAAATGACGTCGGAAGTTTTATTGGTTTTGCACACGTCAACGAAATGTAATACACACAAAGCGAGCGAGTGCGACAGAGTAAGTGTGTGTGTGTGTATGTGTGAAAGAGAGAGAGAAATTGTGAGTGAGTGAGATAGCTAGAGACAGGCAACATACGTAGACGCGGCCCCCTTTGAGGCAGGACTATGTGTAATGCCATTACATGCATGCCTGAACCGCCGTCGCCGCCGTCGTCGTCGTCGTCGTCGTCGTCGTCACCAGGGGGCCACACACACACACACACACGCAAGCACATAGTCACCGTTTGGTTTCTATACAGAGCAAATGTTTTTGTAACATGACTGTTTGTTTTTAAAGTTTTAATCACTGTCAATCGATAGCTACTTATCATGCTGCACCGCTGCTGCCAAAGTGCTTCCCACAGCAGCAGCAGCAAACAACCGACCACACCCCCAGCAAACAGCCCCCTTGCAACGCCCCTCGCTGGACGACTGTGCACGGGGCTTTTGCGCTTTAATTGACAGTTGCCAAAATAAGCCCGGCCGAAAGAAAATAAAGGCTCACAATTGTTCAGTTGCTTGGTTAAATCAGCACGACAAAACTGTCAAGCTCAGTACTTTGAGGGCGTGCCCTCTCCCCCTTTGCACACACACACACACACACATACAGAGGATCCGCATGAACCAGGACACTTTGCAGTGCTCGCCCAAATGGCGTAAACATGTACAAAATACTTTGGCGCAAGTGTAAAAAATATTGATAAAAAGCATGACAACAACTGCAACAGCAACAGCTTCGACTTGCTTGCAACTGCTGCAAAATATTTGAACGCCGGCAATATCCGACGATTGGGTCAGGAGGGGGCCATGCATAAAAGCAGGGCGTGGGGCCACAGAGATAGCGACTGTAATGTCGCAATGTTTTTGGTTGGCTTGCCGCGTTGCGACATGACGCGACAAAGTTGTTGCCGCTGCAGTTGTTGCTGTTGCTGTTGTTACTGTTGTTGCTGCTGTTGCTGCTGCAGCTCAATGTGAAATGTGGAATGTCAGCTGCGGTTGCTCGGGTTTTTTGTATTGGCGCATCGCTAATCGATTGAGCGTCAGTTGTAAATGGTCAACAGCAACATCAGATTGCAACAGCAGCAGCAAAAGCAGCAACAACAGCAACAGCAACAGCAGCAACAATTGCAATTTCTGCTGAGGTCAAGGCAAGCCCGGGTCGAAAGTATTCTTTGGTCATTTGCAGCGATTTTTCCTTGAGCTCAGACATTTATTTTATAATTAGCTGTCTAACAACTGTCCACACTGTAAATTACCTCAATATCAGTTGACAGTGTGACCATGTATGCAGAATATATACATTGCTTCAACCATTTGGGAATTACAGCCAACCTTATTAAGCAGTTTTGCAACATGCAAAGACTAGCTTTGACTTTGACTTTAACTTTAACTTGAATAAAATGTATGCTGACTTTTTTAAAGATGTTTAATATTAAGGTTCGTAGAGCTCGGTACTTACGCAGCGTGCAGTGCCTTCCATTCCAGCCCTGGGAGCAAACGCAGGTGCCATTCTTGCACTGTCCATGCTCCGAGCAGCGAGCATCGCAGGGCAGCTGATCGCACAGATTGCCCGTCCAGCCGGTATTACAACGGCATTTTCCCGACTCGCAGACTCCATTACGGCCACAGTCCAAGCTGCAGACGGCTGTGGGCAACAATGGGCATGACATTAAAAGAGAGAAACACAGTGAGAATGGCATCAAGTAAATTCAATAAAAATAAATGAAATTAAATGGGAGTGGGAATGGGAATGGGAACGGCATCGGGGAATGTGTAGGAGCTGGTTTGTGTGGGTTGGATTGTGGATCTTGGCATGGTTATTATATTTGTACATACATATGTGCGTTTAAATTCATTAAAGTGCTGCGCAACGTAAACCGACCCCACAGGAAGCAACAGCAGAAGCGAGCAAATTTCTACTCGTTACTCGTCGCTTTTGCACTCGTTACTTTAGCGCTTGGCACTCGTTGCCTGCGGCTTATGGCTGTGAAATGTTGCCCCAGCGAGTGAACCATAAAAACAACATTATAAATGTAACATTTACGTGGCGGCAACAAGCGACACAGCCCCATCCAACGGCGCACCCCGCTTATCATCATCCCCTCTCTCTTGCTACGTTGACTTTTGTTCTGTGTCTGCGTCGCAGGCGTAAATTTATTTTATTTGCCCAGGCGAGCACACAGCGGCGTAACCTGCGTATTAAATAAATAATGAATTTTTATGAAGCTCTGCTTCATTACACGCCCAACCCACCCAACCCCTGGCCAGAGGGGTGTGGAGGGAGGTTGCGGCAGGGTTGCCGCCTTTCGGTGCTAAAAAGTTAAGCAAATTAGGCGTGCGTGCCCAAAGACGAGTCCTTTTGCCCTTTGCCAGCGAGCGGAGAGGCAGCCTCTGACCCCATCACCCTCCTCCCCTCAAACTGTCTCCAACTGTACCCTCTGCGACCCCTACCGCCTGTCCACAACCCTCTTTAGTCGCCGAGTCCAACTTCAGTTTGCGAGTGGTTACATCGTAAGCTGCATGTTTTATTGGGCCGCCATCCATGGAAATGATTATCAACCCGGGGCGTTCAGTATTTTATTTTATTCATTTTTTTGTTCATGTCGTTGTTGTAGTTGCTTCTTGGGTAATCGGTAAATTTGTTGATGTTGTTGTTTTTGTTATTGTTGTTGGTGGTGGTGGTGGCTTTTGGCCTGTCGGCTTTTTGGGCCTAATTGAAGGCTCGGCTTTATGGCTATCATCTAATTTGGATTCGGTCCATGTGATAAAGCATCATAATGTGTAAGCATACGTAACGCCGCATGCTGTACGCCCCGAAATAATAACTGCATTAGTTGTCATCTGTTTTTATGACAGCCCCCCTTCCCATTCTCTTGCAACGTATTTTACAGCCAGACAGGGTGAGGGGTAGGAGGGGCGCTTCCTGTTTCATAAACCCTGAGAAACTTCTCATTTGATTGAGCTGACAGACGCGTCGTCGGGGTATTCCTTATGCCATTTGAGTACTAGATTAAGTGTTATAACGAGTTATATGCCAGCATATATCCTTAAGCAAGGTGGCCTTAAGACGGAGCCGGTCTTAGACCGAAAGTCATATCTTTTATTTACCATGAATTGAATCTTTAGCCGTATTTGTTGGCTGCAGCATGGGCTGACCGAAACCTGAACCTGACCATGTTTTTAATTGTCATTTCATTTTTTTTCTGACTACAATTACTTTTTCAAAAGTTTTTAGCCAACGATTGTATCAGTTATATAAATCGGAAAACTAGCTTCTTATACAAAATCAAAATATTTGTATATATTCAATATTTAATTTTTTATTTCATTAAAGTTGACTTCAAGAAAGTGGGAGACCCAGACTTTAAGGCGAAGCATTATCTCTAGCCTTCCCTCAATTTATAAATTATCTGTTCGAAATATCAAGGAATATAGAAACCTTATGAAGTTTATCTATGTCCGTTAGTAGAGTCTTCACTGTAGTTAAGCCCGTCGAAAATATTGTTGTTTTCTTAACTTAATGTTAACTTTATGGATCATAGCACAACATCTGGGGAGATGCCACAATTTCGGATAAATAATTTCTATTTTCCACTTCAACTTTTCACAATTTGGCCAAATTCCTGCCCCCTCCCACTTCAGCTCTCATTTGAATTCAATGCTCGAACTGAAGAATCATTTGTAAGCAGCTTGTTGAACAAAAAAATACAAAAAAAAAAAACAAAAAACAAATGAAACACACACACGTAACACCCGCAAACAATATACAAATAACACACCTATTCACACACAAGCACACAAACACATGCACATATCTGTACATGTGGAAGCACAGAGTGCAATTGTTATTCCGGTTATTTGTACGAGGTGTGAGCAGGGAGCAGGAGGACGGGGGAGGACGATGGTGGACGGGGGAGTAGAGGGGGAGTCTGATGTATTGCACTTACCTTGTGAACAATCTGGTCCCGTCCAGTGGCGCTCGCAGACGCATTGTCCCGTTTCCAAGTCGTAGGTGCCATGCTCGGAGCAGCCGGGCAGGCATTGGTACACCTGCTGATCAATGGTGCCGCAATCCTCACCCTGCCAGCCAGCCTTGCAATAGCATTGTCCGGCCACGCAGGTGCCATGACCAGAGCACAATGGATCAAGGCAATCATCTGCACGATTCCAAATGCAGTCGGTCCAGCCGGTCGTTTATCGGGGGTTCCGGGTGGACCACATAGACGGAGGGTTGTGTGGGTGTAAGCGAGAGCGCAAGCGAGCAAGCGGATATGAACCAGAGAGGGAGAGAGAATACAAAATGTGTTTTTGTTAGTCGCTTGGCATCCAAATACATATACGTATATACATATACATATGCATAAAAAAAAATAACGTACAATATGTGCACAGTTACGAGCGAGTGAGCGGAAGAAGAACACGCAGAGGCAGAGGCGGCAAGACAGGGGCGCAGTGGGGTAGGGTGGAGGAGGGGGCGGATTCGCAACAGTCTTGGCAAAACAAAAGCCCGTCACGAACCGATGGCGATACATGCCGCCCGCATACACCAATTTCGGGGTCAGGTCACACACACACACACACACACATACACAAACACACACACACACATACACAAACACACACACACACTTGGACACACACATGACATGATTAGTATGTTGGACACGTACGAAAGTGGTCATTAAAATGAAATTCCAGTTTAGTTCAACTTGGTAATTTTGCGCAGTTGTTGCAATTTTGTTTTCCCTTGCCTTTGCCTTTGCCTTTCATTTCTTTTTTCTTTTTTTCGTTCTTCTTCTGCTGGCTTTTTTGCTGTTCTCCGCTGCTTCTAACTTTTGCCGGCGCCGTGCGGCATGCTTGACGCTTTAATGCCCTAACTCCAGAGTCGCACGATTTTATGGAAAGATTTGAAAACCATTCAACAATGCCTGAGAGCAGCGATATGCATATATTTAGCTTAGCTTTCGTTTTTTTTTTTTATAACTTTACTTTGATAGAGATAGAGCTTGGATAACAGAAATCATTTAGAATTTTACGGAAATATTTTAATTGTCGCCTCAGGCTTTTTTTCTCTATGTTTTTATTTTAAAGATTTACTTTTAAAAATCGTACTTTCTAGAACACCCCACGAATATGCCTATGAAAATGATTGATCTCTAAATATATGTATATGCCATAAGATTAATGAAGTTGACCTGGTATTTAGTATCATCGAACTGAGGTCGGCATCAATTATATCAAGCGTTCTTTCATGGCATCGGCTGAATATATATGAGCGTATATATCTGATACTTGTCTGCTAGGGTATTCAGTATTCGGCCTACCCAAATGTGCTCTATATATTTGCTGTTACTTATTTTTTGCGTGTGTGTCCTACTTCTTCACTCTTTCGCTGCTGCTGCTCGTCTTCTTCTTGAACTTGGTCGTCTTGGCTTGTTGAGCGTTTTGTATGTGAAATATGCTTTCGACATATAAATTCGATTCTATACGTTTTATGTTTGCATTGTTGTTGTTATTGTTCTTCTTCTTTTAGTGGTTGTGGTTGTTGTTGTTGTTGTTCTTGTTCTCGTTGTTTGTTCTGTTTGTTGTTCGCTTGTTTTGTATGCCAAGGGTCCAGTACACACACACACACACACACACTCACACACACACACACGCACACACAGCTGGAGTGGGCAACAAGCAATCACATGCACAAGCATTCATGTGTGTGTGTGTGTGTGTGTGTGTGTGCTGCATATTTTATGCACTTAATTTTTTGCTCAACATTTTTGCTGTTACTTTGTCAGTTGTTGCCCAATTTTTTGTGGCAGCTTTGCCAACTGAAGTTGTGCAAAAAGCGAGCGTTAAAGAGCCGAAAGTAAAACTCAAGTGCTTTAACTGTCGCAAGGGCTGCTGACCGGACCCGGCCCCGGACCCGGACCCGGACCCGGTCTCGTCCCTCGGTCCTAAGCCCAGAAAGTATGCAGCGTTTTCTGTTGCCCTTGTCGCAATTTAAAGCAAACAAATAAATAAACACACACACACACACACATACACAGGCACAAACTAAACGTGGGGGCGGCATAATAACTGAAATATTTTGGCGTCGCCAAGACACGCCCCTGCGCAGGTGGGGCGGTCGGCTGTTACAGCGCCCCAGACCCGCTCTTAAGCAAGCAATAGTGGTAGCTGCTGCCTTATCGGGCCAGTGTCAACATGGCCAAAAAGCCTGGGACCGAAAACAGTTCCCGAAAATTGCAAACAAGGCAAATAAATAATTTTAGCATTTTTATGCCAAGTCAGCAGTACACACACACACACACACACACACACACACACACACACAAACAGAGACACATTCTAACACTCCAGCACACACACACACACACACACACACAGATAGGTAGACACTGGGGCACAGGGTGTTTTTTTTTTTTTGCGCCTTGACACTTACGTTGATCGCAATAGGGTCCCTTCCAGCCGCGCTCGCAGTGGCACTCGCCCTCGATGCAGCGGCCGTGGCTGGAGCAATTGGGCACCTCGCACTCGCCAACCGGTATGTCGCACTCCGCACCCTTCCAGCCGTCCTCGCAGTGGCAGACGCCGCCGCCGTAGTGGCCATGCGCCGAGCAGAGTACCGGACAAACGCCTGCAAAGAGTCAAGTTTAACAAAAATTAAAGAGTGTGAGCGAGACAGCAATATGGAGGGCGTAGCCAGCAGAGACGAGAGAGACAGTGTGAGTGAGAGAGAGAGGGAGTGGGAGAGGGAGCGGACAGAAGAGAAGAAAAATGAAAATTGGTATTGAAAAGTGTCGGACAAAGGCAAAAAGAAGCAGAGCGGACACTGCACATAAATAATAAAAAATTTCTCAGGGGACAGTGGTGCAAAGTATTTATTTAATAATAAAAAAAAGGTCAAATGAAATGAATAAATGAATATGATGTAGTGACGGGGCTATTAAATTTGTAATCGATTGATTGATAAGCCGAGATGCTGAATAAAAATATTGATTTTGGGCATTAAATTAACAAATGGAAAAATCATAATCAATGTCTGAATGCAAAAGATCGATGAGAGTTGATCAAAAGTGTTATCGATAAACACACAAATAAAAGTATATGCTTTAATTTTATATATTCATTAGTAACTATCAATGGGAAACACTTTCAGTTATCGATTTCTTATGTATTATTTATCGATATATCACATTGTTTAAAGCATGCCTGTATATCTGCACACAATTCGCGCAACGTTCCACTGTGCCAGCGAATTGCTCTGTGAGGAATACGAGTAGCTGAGGGTCGGATTTCTAGTATTGCGACTGGATTTGGATTCAGTTTCGGGTTCAGTTCGCCCTTTGGGCGTCTGGCTGGGGTGCCAAAGCAAACAAAAGCAGGTGATGTTGACAGCTCAACTTTGGCGTAAGTTTTTAATTTAAATTGCAGCTTCATAGGGGACAGGGGTCAGGGAAGAGGGGACAGAGGCTGGCAGGGGGAGGAGGCTGGCTTAAGTCTAGAATGAACTGTGCTGGTACTTACTTTTGGAACAGTCAACGCCTTGATAGCCATCAATGCAGTCACATTTGCCCAGATAGCAGCTGCCACGCCCCGAACAATCATTGGGACAGGTGGTACTAACGCCCTCGGCCTCCTCGGCAAGCAGGGAAACGGAGTGGGCGACCAGCTCATCATTGTAAACGGATATGAACCACAAGCCAGTGTCCAGATATTGCAAAAGCGAAACATTCACGGTCATTGCATCCATGTCGAGGGCGGGCAAACCACCACCACCACCATCCGCTGCGGAGCGCTTGTGCAGAGTATGCGACAGGCTAGCTGTGGTGGCATGTGGCTTTTGTTGCTTAACGTTGTCCGGGAGTGTCTCCAGGTCAAAGTATTCCATTGAGTCCAGGCCGGCTGGCGATTGCTCCTCGCTGCTGGCTTCCATCTCCTCCTCGGCCTGATCCAGATCCTCCTCGTAGCTATTGCTGCGACGACGACGCAGTTGCAACTGCTGCTGATGCTGATGCTGATGCTGCTGCTGTTCCCCCTCCTCGTAAACATCAATCATGCCTAGATCCTTGTTAGCATTGGTCGAGTTGCCGGCACTGCGGCGATGTCGCAAATGGCTATCGAGTCGTCCGCCCTTTATGAACTCCACAAAGTCGTGCTGTGTCACCGAGGGCGCCACATTGCGGCGCGAGTAGACGGCAAAGTGGGCGCCCCAGGGCAGGGTGAAGTTGAAGCGAATGAAGGCCGGATGCTTGTTGCGAAACTCGAGTGTCCAGAATTGATAGGCCGGTATATTGGCATGGTACAGCTCATTGAAGTCCTTCAGCTCAACCACCTGCGGCCATTGGCCACCGCTCAGACCGATGCCCTGCTGCTGCTGCAGCACCGGATGATGATGGCCCGGCTGCTGGAGCAACAGATTATGCTGCTGCTGGCCGAGCCCGCCGGCTGCACCGCCATAAGTGAGTTGATCCTGTAGCTGAGTGTTGGTCGCGTCCAGCGGCGTCAGCGGTTGGTTGATGGCGTGTGGCTGTTGCTGCTGCAGAAGAAGTTGTTGCTGTATGCCCGTGGCGCCGGCTGCCGTGCCGGAGCCGCCAGTGCCGCCATTGCTGCCATGATCGGAGGTGCTGGTCTGTATCGATTCCTCAGTGGGATAGGCTGTGGCGCCACCCGGCTGCGCCTTGTTGTCGCCGCTTTTGCCTGCGCCGCCGCGCAAATCGTGCGGCTGCGACTTGACGTCTTGGACTAGGATGCAATTAGAGCTGTCCATGTTCGGTTTCATCGAACTGACTGCTGCGTAAAGAGTGAAGGAGACATAAAGGGGAAGAGAGAGAGAGAGAGATACAGAGAGAGAAAGAGAAAGAGAGAAAGAGAGTGAGACATTTGGTTAGTCCTTTGTGGTTTTTGGCTGCGATTTGCAAGCTGGGACACAAATGTGCGACCCGGCCCCATAAATCGCATGACTGCTAAATTTAACGCCATAAATCTGATGCTCCTCTGGGCGAGAAGCACCAGCACCAGCAGCACCACTGGCAATAATGTTTAGTGTGGTGCTGTCCTTGTGGCTCACCGAATCCACCAGCTGCTGTATGCTGCAGGCACTGCTACGTTTTGAGTGTGTGTTTGTGTGTGTGTGTTTTTTTGTTCACATACATAAATTTTTGGCATCATATTTTAACGCCATATTAATATGCACTCGCCCATAAATCAATGCCGTGTCCTTCCCGCTCGCACACACGCCGTCTAACTCTTTCGCACGTTTGCCACATGCGCCACACACACACACACACACACACACACACACACACACGCACACACAGCTGAGTAGACACAAAATGCGCGTTGTTAACACGTTCGCATTTTGCTTGCCATCGATGGACGACGGCTATCGTTTATCGATAACACATCAGATTTATGTGCTTTGGCTGCGATGCCAGCTGCCGTAGCAAGCGCTTCCACACGCGCTTATCTGGGCCAACTTGCCAAATGGAATGCATTAAATTTGAACTAAATTTCAAATGGTAAAGCAAGGGTATCATGATTGAAATGCAGTTTTACGCATTTAACCAGTGTGCGCAAGCAATCACAGTTTGTCTATCCCCTAAATAAATTTGAATGAACTTAAACGCATCTCAGTCTTCAATCAAGCTCAATCTTGGTTGATTGTGTTTTATGATTATTTTAATGATACGTTCAAATGCTTGCATCGCATATGCTTTCATCAATTACATTTACTGTCAATCATTTCTTATGCTCTATCAGTCAAGCAATCAATCAATCATAAATCAATCTTTCATAAATCTCTTGGTACTCATTATAATTAGCCATTTGAAAATTTAAGCACTCACCGCGCCAACATTGAAAGCACTTACAATCGGTTAACACAAGCAGTCCTATTAGTCAATCAATTTCAAGCCAATCAATCATAAAAAATCGTTTATTCTTTTTAATGTTCAGCAAGGCAATTAGACAAAGCGACTTGGGGGTTCGCATTGATAATATGTTAATGGGCCTCCGTCTGAGAGAATCGGGAACAGAAACGGGAAAAGGCATGGAAAATGGGGAATGCTAATGGCGCCCTACAAAAATGTATTCATACCTCCCTCCCTTCCCTCGCCCACACCTGCCTCAGCTGCTTGACAACGCCCAAACATGTAAACTAATGCGACCTAATGATGTCGATACCGTTGTCGATGCCGTTGTCTATGGCCGATTTCTTGGCAATGCGCGTAACCCAAAGAACAAACAGTGCTGCAAACAGGCCGAAAAAGCAGAAGGATAGACAAAGAACCTCCACACATACGCAATTACTCATATGAGGCACGACAAATTAACGTCAACGAACGTGCTTCAATTTGGCTGTTGAGCTTTTAATTTAAGCGAACGCACGTATACCTATATGTGCTTGTTGGGCGCCTACACTGAGAAAAAGATATGCCTTGACACATGTTTGCATTCCAAGCAGACATTATAATTATCGAATCGGATTGATTGATTGATGGGTAGCATAGAACTCCAGCCTGTTTCATTATCTCGGTTGCCAAACAAGACTCTCTAATGTAAGCTGAAGAGAAGCCTAAAATTGAAGTCTACTTATAACAAAGCAGTCATCGAAAATAGTCCACAAAGAATACAAAAATAAATGTTGATGCATCGATTTATCGATTAATCGATTAATCGAAGAACGTAAAAAACTATATTATGACAAAAATACTATAGAACGTAGGAGTCGATACCAAGATTGAATAGTTGATTCTATATGCCAACCCCATGCCACGTATAACATAAGGAGCAGGGAGTGCACACACACACACACACAGACAGATACACACTATGTGTGTGTGTGCGTATATCATATAGCCCATCATTAATAAATAAAGAGCGAGATAGAGAGGCGGCAAGGAGAGCGGCATGTAGTTCTATTAAGTTAACAAGCTTTTCATTTAAGTGGCTCGCAACTGGTCGAACAACTGGAACAGGAACTGGTAGCGGAACAAGAAGTGGAACTGGAGCCTGCCAAAGGACACGCGCGGTCCCAAACAAAACAGTAGACAAACAAATTGAAGAAGTGGCCGTTGAAGGGTGACTGCAGGGGTGGGGAAAGTGGTTATAGACGAAAAAAAAAAAACATAGCTCGGCACAGTTTTTCCGCGCCTCTGTTGGAAAAGAGGGTGAGGTGGGGGCTGTAACACAGCACCAATTAAATTTGATTACAATTTGTGGCAAAAGCCATAGGAAGCACATCACACACGCCGGACCGCCCCCGCCGACCACGAAATGAGCAACCCTACCAAGGATATTTAGCGAGAGTGAGGGTTGGGGTTGGGAGTGTGGAAAAAGTCGATAAATTTGTGTGTGTGAGTGTGTGTGTGTGTGCGGGGAGCAGCATAAAATTGACAACGACTCAATTTGGCAGAACAGAGCCGCGCACAGGACATCGACAGACGAGTTACTGGACGCAGGACACTCCTTTTAATGTCAAGTCGTTATTTATATTTAGCCATCAACTAAGCCCCGAGAAAAATAACAGTATGGAAGGGTGTGTGAATTCGATTAGTGAATTTTTGTTTGTTTTCTTTTTTGCTGGTCACACGCAATAAGCGGAACCGGAAATGCGAGCCGTTAAGATCAACTAATTGAATCTACGTGCTCCAAGTGCCAGCAAATGGCTCTTCAAGCTAATGAGAGAGTGAGAGGGAGACTGAGAAAGGGAGATGGAGAGAGGAGGGAGAGGGACATAGCAAAGGGTTGCAAAAGTTGGCCATGTCCAGGACAAAGTTACAAAAATTTATGAAGCGTTTTCTTAATTGCACTTCCTTGAAGAAAAATAATTTATTTAAACGACAAGCGCACACCTTTTCCTCTAGCAACTTGTTACGGCGCCAGCTGAAGAGGGCTAAGGACGGGTAGGGGGAGCGGCGAGCTAGAGGTCACGCCCTGACTGACTGTTGGAATAGTTGCTGCTGCTGCTACTGCTGCTGCTGCTGCTGCTACCTGTCAGCGACAAATGTCGTGTTGCGTCATTTTAATTGAAATATTCTTTGAAAAATACTTTTTTCCTTTGGCAATTGGCGCAAGTTTTAATGGTCGAAACAGTTTGGCAACAAACGACATGTACTCGAAGTGCGGCTATACCCTAACTGAAAGTCTCTTTTAAGCCCGGTCGTTTGGTGCAAAACGGACAACAAAACCAAATAGAAGTTGAAGAAACTCTCAGTTGAACAACTCTCACCATATTCTGCTATATATGGGCACATAACTTAATTGGAATTATTTATAGCTATTAAAAAGTATTTCAACTGCTTCAAAGGAGAAGCATTTTCCGTTGTGTAAATGTGTATATGTCCTGGGCAAAGCCTGCTCTTGAGGCTCAGTTTTCTATTGAGTCTAGGTAAGAAAATCCTCTCAAAATGTACGTCTTAAAAATGTTGATTAGTTACAAAAAAGATTTTCATAATATTGTCTTTATTCATTTTTCGTTGTTGCAAATGTTCAAGGCAACTCTGGCTCTTTGCTACTTGCTACTCGTTACTCGTTGCTCGTTGCTCATCACTTTCTACTCGTTATTTTTTGCTTGACTAATTTTGGTTCTTTGTTGCGGTAAGGCATAGGCAACGTCACTCGATTGGCCGCATGCAAGCACAAGAGATTTCCAAGAATTGCTTAGAGATGCCAGAAAACCACAAAATGCAAAAAGGAGCGAGAGAAAGAGAAAGGGAGTGGGAAAGACAAACCAAATCGAGTGACTAATTGACTACAGTAAAGCCTAAAAAAGAAGCACAGCTTGTGGCTAAACTCAAGTGAGAATATATCACAATGACTCTGCGCAAGCAGGGAGGGGGTTAAAGAGGAAGCATGCAACTGCTGCAATTGAATTGAAGTGCTCTCAAAAGCACAGCAGAGCGCAAAAACAATCAAGTCTGGTTAGAGTTGCCAGCGCTCAAGCGTTGCCAGATTGTTGCTGTCAAACCAATTGACAGACGGTGCGCATCTAATTTCCAGGAAAGCCGCAGAGGAGCCCAAAGTGCCCGAAGTGAATGGTATGTGAATGCTTTGTGAATGCTATGTGAGTGCTATGTGAATGTGCATGCCAAATTAAATGCTCGCAGGTGCCCAGCAGCAAATTAAGTGTTTGAACCCGACAAAGCGCAGCCGTAAACATTCAAATGAAATTCATGAAATCGCATAAGCCATGAGCTGCTCATATGGCAAATGACAACGATGAAGAGCCAGAGGATAGGCAGGGAGCGGGTGGCACACAATTTGTGAAACAGTGCATATCGTATGAGTTTCCGATAGTTTATTCGCTTAAAAATCGATTAACCTATTTCCGATAACTACTGCAATGCGCATCCTCATCCGCATCCGCATCCGCGGCCTGGCCAGCCCCATAGACCACCCGCGACGACACCCTTTGAGCTGCCAGTCAAACATGTTAAATGTCCTGATTGCTGCCGCTTGTGCCTGCCCTGCTGTCAGGCAATATCATTGTTGTTATTGCTGTCGCAGCTGTTGCAGTTGCACTTATCGCTGCTGCCGTTGCAGTTGTTGTTGTTGTTGTTGTTATTGTTATGATAGAAAGTGACGCATCAGTGGTAATTCGAACCGTGCCCTGCTCAAACGATTTTGTGCATACAACAACAACAACAACAATTGCTTGGCCAGGCTGGGTTTGTTGTTGCTGCTGCGGTCGCTCCACATGTCACGTTGTTGTCCTGTTGACACTGCGGTCGATTATCTCATAGATATGACAGATATATCGCATACATTGGCTAGCAAATTATGACAGTCAT